TACTACTACGACGACGACGACGCCGATTACCAACAACTACTACCAGTACTACCACGACAACTACGACTAGTACGACTATTATTAATCGTTTATCTACGTTAGAACGTGAGGCACACAAGATTCTGCAAGACGTCTGAAACTGTTCCGCTCCAGCTCTTCCCGAGGTGTGTCCTCCTGATCCCTGTTTGGCAGCTTGTCCGAAAGAGCTAGGTTTTTGCCAGGCAGTTGCATGATGTCGCAGACGGTCTACAGACGTGCAGACGTTCCCGTTCAGGCTTCAGCTTGTTCTTCCCCATCTCGCGAAGAAAGACGGGGAAGATGATCCCAAGAAGGCTGCAGAAGTGCTTTGTGCGCAGATCTGGCGTTGTTGTGAGTCAAACTGCAAGAAAAGGCAGAGACAGAGGCAAAAGACAAGGCCCCACTGCAAGCACGTGATCGTCCAGACGCCGGTTGACTCCGCTGTCTGGTTGCAACTGCTCGCCTGGCAATCGTTGGCAGGCTGGCGACGACAAGGCTGCAGCCAAGATGGAAGGGCAACCAGGCGCTGCATCAACACTATCTAATTCATTCGGTGCCGTTCAGATGTTGGCCCAACGTTTGTGCAGGCGGTGGGGCAGAAGCAAGCCAACCTGCAGCACCCGCCGAACCGGCGAAGGGCTTACTTCGAGTTGCGACTGGCTCACATAGTTCAATGGACAGCTCCCGGCTTCGGCTCAGGAGAAGCAGGGCGAGGGGAGCCAGCCTGCAGCAGCCGAAGATGACCAGCCTCTCACCCGAACTTTGAACACAGCCAGGGGTGTCGAGTTGCAGGGTTTCTGTGCATCACAACGGATCGCAACTCGTGATGACAGAAGCACAAAAACGTGTGCTACATTGCGGGCAATGCATGGCTCAGGTACTGACATGTCGCTGATGGCACCGCTGGAGTGAGAAAAACTTAAATCTGCTTGACTGCCGACAGTGTTCAAAGACCTGAGCAACTGCTTGGCGGGATTATGTTAGAGAGGTGTGGACGCCCGTGAACCTGAGGCCGGCTCGTGCGGCTCATTTGATCCCCGCAGGCCAAAGGCCATCAGTCGAGCTTTGCATGACAGGGTCACATTTGCAACAGCCGTTCGGTTTGTACACCATGTTGCCATGTTGCATCCCGTGCCGTTGCTGGCTCCACGGTTGGTAATGGGTCGCACTTTGGCGAGTGACGCCAATGCTTCGGTTGTTGGGTCACTGCCTGTGCTGCGGCATGAAGCGGCCTTCTGGCACAGAGGTCAGAGATGCAAACCGCAGGGCACTGGAGCGGACAGGCTCAGACCCCGTCCGTGTTGCCTGCCTGGGTGATTCCAACACTGTTGGTGGAGGGCTCGGGCGACTCGTCAGAAGAAAGGGATCTCTCCCACAAGTCAAGAGCTGAAGAGCTGCTGGCCTAGCATATCTTCCAGCACGGTAGGAAGACCGGAGCCTATCCGGCCCAGCTGCAGCGACAACTGGATGAGCGTGCAGCTTGGAATGTATAGGCCGTTGTCATCCGCAGTCTTATTATCCGGAGAGACTGCCGGGATCTGGGGGCTCCAAGTGTCACCGATGAGGCCGGAGCAGGCGTGTTTCTCGTCAAGCCCTTCGGTGTCAATGGGGCAGTTGCTGTGGATACACCAGGTAAGAAATGCTTCTTGGCTTGTAGCGCCTCAAGCCTGATTGATGTGCTTGTGCGCAAACCCTTCAGAACTTCATACGGGCCTTCAAATGCTCAGGCTATGCGAGTCAGCAACGATGCAAGGATGCAATTGGTTTTGCCCCTCACATTGTCGTAGTTGCCCGGCAACATTCAGTGGAATGCTCTGAAGATCTTTCTCTCTTCTGAACGGTGACTCTCCGGACTATTTCAACTATTTCATTCCATGAATGGCCGGTGCTATCACGTGGCGAGGTCATGCTTGGAACGAATGATGCCTGGCATCGTGCCGGGGAGCCACAGAAGATCGGCGAAAGCATGATGACCTTGCTCGACAGCCTCGAAAAGTCTCGGCCTTGGTCATGCTAATGCTGCACGCAGCACAGCAAGTTGTCGACGGCTGGCAAGATATCTTGCACCTTTTGCATGCCAGAGTCTGCTTGCTGACAGCGCGTGCCGCTCAGGGTTAAAACTGCCATGCCGTCGAGCAGAAAATGTCGACCGTTTTTTCTGGTACTTTCTCCTGGTGTGCCTCGGGCCTGTTTTGTGTGCAGCTCTTTGTCTAAGTGGCACCTCGGGCACTCGTTGCGACTTGACAGGCCAAGGCCGGACGCCTCAGAGACAATTTGGCAAAGCACGTTCACCCAGAGCTGCGAAGGGTCGCGTGACTCGGTCCGCTTGAGCTTGGCATGCTTTCCACGAAGGGAGACAGCCCAAGAACTTGCACAGCGGCGTTTTGTGTACTACTGTGTGTTCCAGCAGCTTGGCATGCGAAGGGAGACCAGAGTGGACACTACTTTGGTGGATATATGCCTGCCGCCTTCTGGCTACCGTGCAGACGCCGTACACTTATCCAAAGATGGAGCCTTCCCATCAAACAGCATCTTTTGACTCCGTAGCCTGAGAGTGTCTGACGCAGTATCTTCACAGTTACATCGCGATCTGACCCCAGGGGGTTTGAGCCTTCGACTTCGCTCAAAACGGCAGCGATCACTGAAGGATTAGTGGCTAACTGTCAGTGGTTGGCTCTTCTAGCTTGAAGTTTGAAACGGCTTTGCATGCAAGTTACACATGTCAAGCGCATGAATCGCTTGCTGAGGAGCCAATGAAGTCGCGAGCGCCGTAGCCGCCTCCATCCTCAAAGACAGCGGAGGAGTTTGATGAGTCGCTGGTCCCGACCGTGCTTGGTCTTTCCGCCATCTTCAGGGTGCCAAAGTTGCCAAGATCCTCGTTCAGCTCGCAGCTCCACGCAGGGCGCCGTGGTGCAAAGTATGGACTACAGACTACATTGCTGCTAAGCGGTGTGCGGACGGTTGATCGTGTGGTCGTTTGATAGTCCAGCTTGGGTGTGATTCCAAGTGTCGCGTGTTTCTTTCCTGTGAAATCGTTTTTTGAGGCTTCCCCACTTACAACTGCTGATAAGCTCAAAGCTTTTCAATGTCTTCTAATAAGCATGAAGATGTAGATGCAAGTGTAAACACAAGTATGAATATGCTTGCCGATATCAACTGTACATTCGGATGTATGCAGGTATGTACGTGTAGTTACCCGACATGAACGCATGCAGGCAGACACACAGACACATTATGTATATGTGCATATGTATATAGTGTATATACACATACACATGTATGCAAAGGAAACATATACCACGCAAAAACGCAAGTGTATATATATATATATACACATATATATATATACACATGTTGTAGATACCTGCGCACACACACACAGGTGTATATATATATATATACATACGCAGAATGTACGTGCACATGTGTATAAATGCACACATAAACCGCCAGTCAGTCGGAGTAAGGCTGCACAGCCCCGGACCAAGAGCGCGTAACATGTCTTTCTGAGTCCCCTGCTCCACAGGATCGGAGCATCATGTTAAAGCGCGGTTGCTTTCAGCGACCCACTCGGCCATAAGATCTACCCTCAGCCTCCCTGTTCTAAAGCCCTGACCTGAAGGCACCCACGAAGAGCAAGAAGTGGCTGTTCTCCAGAAGGTGTACTTGCAATGCTCTGCTCATTGGTGCCGCATTGCCTTTTGCAGGCTTACGGCTGCCCGTAAGCTACAAGGGGGCAAGCCTTGGGGGGTGCACGAGGCTTCATTTGGCACTCACTGCCTGTCCGGCTGCTTCGCCTTGTTGACGGTATCGGATGTGGCACCGTACCGAAAAGACAGCCCGGCGAAGCATCCAAAAAGCATGTCATGCCCTGCAGCAAGTTAAGTTGACGCAGTGGAGGTGTAGTACACATTGTGTAGTTTTCTTGTTCAGTGGGCTTGATGAGATATGAGACGGCAAGCAGAGCTGAGACTTTCCCTCAAAACGGAACAAGAATCTATTCCGCTTCCGGCAGCTTGTCGAAGACGTGGTCGGACGTGCACAAGGTCTCCAGCTTCGTCTAGGCCTGGCAGCCTGCAAGTTGCTACCAGAATGACCACATGAAGGGGTTTGCAACCTATGTAGCAGCCCTACTGCGGGTTCCACACGGGTGTTCTGCACTTCGGGCACAGGCATGACCACGCTGCATCATGAGGGTCTCCCGTTCATTTGCAGACACGAGTTGGCCACAATGATTCGTTCTCCGTGGCAGCTTCGCATGTGCTGGTTTGCATCGCTTGAGTCAATGCCTCTGCTTGGCACAAGGTCTGATGACGGGTAGATTCGAACACAGCGCATGATCGCGCAATCATGGTCGGCTGGAGGAGTTTGCTTTTCGTGGTCTTGATTGCGTTCATCGCCTACAACCTCCAGACGCCCTTTTCAAAAGCAAACCTGGAGCCCTCGCTGGTCGGCAAGGTTGCTGCAGCCCTGCCTCCTCCCCTCGCCCTCTGCGGACTGAATTTCTGATTAGCTTCAATGCCAAATACTACAAGTACCAACAGAGTTCGGTTGAAGCCAGTTGAGGCTAAGGTGATGCGCACACGTGTCCACACCTCTTTCCCTGCACTAGTGTTTGCTAAATGGCTTACTTTTATTCACTTCTTGCCTTGATGATGTAATGTGCTTGATTCGTTCAAGCGCGACAGTAACTGCCACACTCCAGAACCGTGCTTATGAAATTCTAGTAGTGTGTGAAAACATGAACAGGAAGTGGAGACACCGCACTACAGTTCCCATATGCGTTGATTATGTCACTTTCCAGATCCTTTCATCTCCTTTCCACATGGTGTTTGCTGTGCAGGTTGCAGTTGTGACCGGCGGAAGCCGGGGAATAGGCAAAGGCATCGCAATCGGCTTGGGCGAGACTGGTGCCACAGTGTATGTTACAGGCAGGATGCGTATGCATTGGCTTCGCGGGGCGGAGGGGACATCCAACAGCTGAACATGCAGGTCGCACTGTGTCTTCAAGCTCGACTAACACTGGTGGACCTGGTGGAGTTCCGCAAGCTGGAACGCTGGAGGAAACTTGCGCCGAAGTGGTGAAGGCCGCATGGTGCAGCACCTCGGGGAAGCTGCTCGACTTTGATGGTGCATGCTGTCTGCACCCGTGTTGAAGGCTGGTGGAAAATGCATTGCAGCCGGCGTCGACAGCGGAAACGACGAACAGCTTAGAGAGTTTATCGATCAGGCTGGCGCACCTTTGTTTGTGTCTGCCATCCCCTGTTGAGAAACCTAGAGTTGCGAGAGTCCAAACCGAGTCCCGGGCATCTCTGCGGTTTACAGGTCGTTCGCGATCATGGGCGCATCGATGTTCTGGTCAACAATGCCTTCAGTGCCGTATCGTGGCTACCCAAGCACGCTGGGAAACCGTTTTGGGAGAAAGGATGGGGCTTGCTCAGTGCTGTCCTTGTCGTGGTTCGAGTAGGCCTCAGAACAGCACAGCTCCACCCTGAGAGGAGCTGATGCTTGGGACCAAGTCAACCACGTTGGGCTGCGCTCTCACTACCTTGCCAGTGTATTTGCAGCACGACACATGACCACTGCCAAATCGGGGCTCATCATCAATGTCGGGTCCTTCGGCGGCCTCAGCGCCTTGGTGACAAGAGCTTGGTAGATGACGGAGTGCTTCGTGCTGTGTGCAACTGCCAGACTACATTTTCGACGTTGCCTACGGCATTGGAAAGGCGGCAATGGATCGCATGGCAGCTGACATGGCCATCGAGCTGGCTACTGACAATGTCACCATGATCTCGCTGTGGCCAGGGATCGTTGCAACGGAGACACCCGGCTAGGAGACCCAGCAAAGCTTTGTCTTAGGACAGGTTTGGGTCGTTGCGCGCAGGCATCGAGGCCAGTATGAGGGCGGAAGGGAGCAGGCGCATCCCAGTCACACTTCGCCATGCTTGCCCATGGCACGCCACGTGAACTACCGTGTATCTGGAACAGGGGCTTCAGGCGAAGAAAGGACTAAGCATTGCAGTCCCTGCTCAAAAAAAAATTGGCGAAGAAAGGGATGACAGGAGGGGGAGGGAATCGCTACAAGCAGGATTGCATCCGATCAGTAGGAGTGCTGCAATGTGGAAGGGATATTTTGCTGTGGTCCAACAGCTCTAGGGTCAAGTGCTGGATAATCGAACGTTGCATGATGCCATCTTAACTTGCAAATGTCCTGAAAAGTTTGCACTCGTCGACTCCAAGGGTAACAGGCTAGCATCGGTCCGGTCGGAGCCAAGGAAGCCTTCGGTGCAGATGGACACAATTCGCGTAAACTTTGGCCCGATGCTCCGTCCTCAACCCACACGTGTAACCAGGGACATGCTGATTGCTAAATCGTACTTTCTCGGATTGCTTGTTGCACGCGCGTTCTTACATGTTGTCGAGAACGTAGGACTTTCTTGGGCCAGTCTTGGGAACCTCGCAGCTCCTCGAATGGGCTTGGACTGCTAGCAAGTGATCGTTTACTGTTGGGATCTACTCTAGCACCAAAATGCTGTGTGACTATGGCAGTCAGGAACATCCAGGATGGCGCTCTCGGAGGAATGTCTGAACGCCGTGGGCTGGCTCCAGGACCAGAGCACCTTGGCATCTTTGTCCTAATTGACGTTAGTTCCCAGACCCCCGAAGGCGGCTCACGAGCAGTCGCATGCGCCAGCAGGTTTGATACTGCTGCACTGGTTCAGAGCCCCCTTGCAGAGACACCGCTCTTTGTTGGCCGGGCGGTGTCTGCATTTGCGCGGGACCGCACAAAGTTTGATTTCACTGGGAAGGCTGGCGGTTCCGCGGATGCGATCTCTGATTCGATAGTTGGCTTCCTACGAAATTTCCAGCGATGCTTACTGAAAAGCAGGTCCTGCTGCCAGCAACGATGGCAGCAGGTTATGGGGTTATCGACGAGCGTGGCCTGAGAACCCCACCTTTCAATTCCGTTAAGTCTCTGGGCTGCCCAAGGAATTTGATGGTGCATGTTTTCTAGAAGCTGTTGATGCTCATGTTCCTTCAGCCAGCAGACGGAGTTCCGCACTTTGAGGTTTCTGGCAGCAGCCGCGCTGAAATCAACCCTCCAAGAGCAGGGCTTGTTTGCTGCTACTTGCGTGGCATTCAGGAAGAGCTGGAAAGATTTTGATTTCATGCCATGCTTCTGTGCAAATCGAGACTAGGCATCGACGGAGCTGTTCAAGGCTGTCAAGCCTACCGCAAACATGGAGCTGTTTTGGAAGAAGCTTCCGGATCTAACCGTCCCGCAGTTCATACTGAAGATGCCTGGTTGCACAGCAGAGTGCCGAAGACTGTATGTTCTATTCTAGCCTTCTACAGACACGACTTTACGTGCACCCTGAACAAGCGCCGAGGCTTGTGGCAGGGTCTCCGAATTTGTGAAGTGCCATCCGCGACACGTTTGCCCGGAGTGCGCTACGGCCGCGACTCCTCCGACAGAGGCCATGCAACAGCGAATGTTGCCCGTGCAGCCGGCACACCAGCAGTGCATGGCCAACGTGTACAGAGGCTGTCTAATTAGCCCGACCCGGGCTACCCTGGAGGATTTATCTCCTCCATTCCTACTGCTCTGCTAATGTTCACATCTCACAGCTGATTCTGTATTGGCTCGTCCGGATCTCACTTGTGACTTCTGGGGCCTGTTTCGCAGATGTGCTCTCAGGGTTTCGTTTTGCAGTACCCTCATTTTCGGCAAGTTTTCAACAGCTGCCCACAATGGGTCGAGCAAAGGCAAGTTCAAAAGGTGTGCCGATGCTGCGAACACAGTATGTC